TATATATATATATAACTGGTGGATATCTGGATGGCTGGCATCCGAATCTGAATTTCCTGTCAACAGCACACAAGTCGATGTACTCCTACGCATGATCAGGAGCAAGACGGTTTGCGCTGAACAGAATGTGGTGCTGCGCGCAAGCCCTTGGTAGCGATGAGTAAGAGGTGCGGGTTAACGTGCAGACGGCTTTGGCAAGCCATCAGCCGGTCCAAACATCGTGCTATAACAGAGTTTACCAGCACCAATTATCTGTTTAGTAATGTGCTACCGGTGTCCTTCGTGAATTCCTTTAGGCTTCAGCGTGATACCATACCTTCACAGTATACCACCATGCAACTGATTCCGGAATGCGCTCTTTGACACACCGTCAGTTTGGTAATCGATAAACGGGCGCCTTATGTTAACATTACAAAGTTATCAGAAACCCATAAACCATTGAGGGATCGTATATTTCTGTCAGTAGTATCTTTAAGTCCTGGGATGGAGGTCTGGCACGTTTGAGAACACTCCCAAGTCGAATTATCTACCAAGCTGACTTAATAAGAACCCGCAATGCCATGCTACTAACATCAGAGGTGGATATCAACGAGAAAAAACGCACTGTCATTAAATTCTGAAACCCTTTTCGTTCGGTTCTGAAAATGTTCTAACCATGAGGAGGAGAAATACAGTAATACAGTATAAGAAAACTGGCAACCAAATGCTTTAACTTCAGCTGCAAAGTGATATCATGATTTAAACGGCATTGTGAGGATAGAAAGACCAACACGTGCTGTTCCTCCCACACCATCATATATCACACAATGCAGGTACTTGCCCAGTTTCAAAATATAAGCAGAAAATTCCACCAACCTGTCCAACTCTAGGAGTAAGTAACGACAGTTCTTGAGCCAAAATTCGATATGCGTTTTCTTCCTGTGATCCATCTGATGTGAAGGAATAAAAGAATAAAAAGCAGGTCTATCAAACGCACGATAACAATAGTGAGAAAGGTATTAATCCTTCGTCCGTAAGCTAGACGCAACTCTGGATCCCCAAAACGCTCATTTTTCCTTGTCCGAAGGCGGATAGGTGTTCATCCGTCACAATTGTCAGAGGTGATGTTATCTGCGCTTTCGGTATAGCCTCCATAAAAAGGGCATACAAATTTTAGTTCGATATCGCAATAGCTTTGGCCTTTGGTGCACGAACCCATAATTTGACAACAAATTAGTAAACAATGACCCGGTATTGACCAACTACTTCCCCAACCGAATGTGTACATACCGAAATATTGGTGAACATGCTCATCTAGTGAAAAAAATGCTCAAAACCCGAGCTGGCACATCGAATCAGCCTTATTAACTCTCACCTCATAACCTCTTTGGTCCCGATTCTACAATACCGAAATAGCCTTCAACGTTCTGATACTAAAGCAAAATCCACTGTTGGTGCCAAGTAGAATCACCCAGGTGTGCTCCACACAAAAAGCGATCAAAAGAGGTTGTTGAAAGGCTCGTCAGTTTTTTTCAAAACATTCTCCCGTACAAGATTTACTTCGTTTTTCTAGGTAAGGATACTCATGGCAAAAACATGTAATCGGCAGTTATTTTTGTGTTTCGTAGGTAGTTTGGAAGTGTATATGAGCAATACAGGTACCCAAGATAAATGGAAGATAAACTGAATAGTACTCACTAGGTTCTGGTGTAGAGGTGTGTAGTTTTGCCGTGAGAAATCGCGAGTTGGTCTCATCCAACTTCGATTGAACGTCTGTATGCTGAAGGGGAGGGGATGCACGGACGATTGAAAATAGAGAGCAGGAAAGGTGGAGGCAACAAAAACCTTTGGGTTTCTGGAATGAATTCGGTAGAAATATTCCGACCTATTATGTGTCACGTAGAAAGTCACACCGAGTTCTCACATTAAACCCCGGAGAACGGAATAGTTCGAAAACAAAAAATAACGCCAGTCAAACTGTGTTCCATGGGGGCGAGATGGCCCAAGTGGTTAGAGCGCGAATTTACTGACCGGAAGGTTCGTGGTTCGAATCCGACCTCCGCCACTCGACTTCCCGTGTCTAGGCTTGGGCAACCTGGCAGTATCCTAACCCTCGTGCTTCCTTCGGATGGCATGGCAGCTAGGCACCGGAAGGGTGCTACAGCTGAACGCTTTCTTTCTTTCTTTCTGTGTTCCATGAGTCACAGACTCAGGTTACCTGAGTTAGTCTGTCAATCTGGTTGAAAGTGCACAGAGGTGAACAAGTGTGTAAAAACGTACACGTGCCATAACAGAAAAGTAGCATATTCCAGCATCGTGATGACGAAATTCCTTGCATATCTCGAAAATGTACGATTCTAGGGAACCGAACAATTGATCAAACTTTGTGCCAAAATCTTAGCACCATTTTCCATAGACACGTTGCATCACATTTCTCAACAGAAGCAAGCATTTATGGTGGACACAAACTAGTTTTAGAGACAATAAATTTACGCGGTAATAGTGTGCGAAACGCAGTTTTCCATCAAAGAATGAGGCAGGTCACTTGATGTCACCCTAAAACACCGGAATACATTTTCATATCCTTCTGGTTGGCAAGTGGTCTTCCCTTTATTCATCGCACGCATATACCCGTTGTTAGTTTGGAGGATCTGTACACCCTTCATGGTGTTTCTGGAAACCCGAGATACATTGGGATCCGTGGATGGAACCATACAGTGGAATTACCTGGTACATCGGTCACCATCAGTTAAACTCGTGAACTTCGGGTATTCTACAAGAAGACATCAAGTCAAGTCTTTCGTCAGCGCTGTGATGGACGATGTCCTGGAGGGTGGTTGTTCCTAACCTTACTGATGGTGGTGTTGGGCTTCTACATGAATGCAAGATCCAGACCCTTGGTAATGTTGATATGTCATGTACAAATGTTTGCCAATGGACTTGAGTCATTATGGAATGTAGTTTTCACCATCAACCTCGTTCAGGACTGCGTGGGACTGAGACATGATGTCTATCACAGGGAAGCGCTTGAGTTCGTCGGTAACTTCTTTGGCCTTGGAAACGATCCTCTGCAGGGAGGAGTTAATACAACCGTAAACGTTGCTCAAAGAACGAAGACTATATCGCTTTCGAAATTTTAAGTACACGTGGCGGCACCGAACCCGAAGGGCACCTCAGAGACCTATCCGTTCGGTTGGCTTCTTCTACAGATGTATAAGCTGCTCTCCCCGGAATGAAGACGGCCCGTGATTCTCAGTAATTGGCCATTGTTACTCATGGGGTTTCTTACGCATCTGATGATAACAATGCATCGAGAACTTGAAGGCATGAAGGTTTATTATCTGTGAACGCAACAACATGGACTAGGAAGATGCGACTGACGCACCTAGACTTCGATGTCCCGGTTACTCATTCAGAACGGTGCATCAGCGACTTCTACTTCCTACTTTCCTGGAGAAGCAAACAATGAGGAGAGGTAAGCAACGAACAACTGGACGCCGCAGTACGAAGGCCGTATCGAACGGATTATCTTCGACCAACTGTTTACAGCTCTCAGACTAGATCCAGCTCGGGGCTCTGAAGGAGATCGCTTGAGCCAGTACTGAGAGGATCACTCGGGTAGGCTATTTCGTTCACCACCAGTTATCGTACTTTATCCAATCTATTTTTCCTTTGAAACCCCTTATAAATTTGCACACCATTTGCCGCAAGTGACAGGAACTGTTCTGAGATACGTGTGCAAGATATGGTGCCACACCTGTCAAATACTGGGCAGACTGCACCGAGACTGCACCAGAGGAGAGCAGCTTCGATTGAATCCGTTGCACAGCTACCATATTTAGGTTAACGGTTGCTACAGTTTGGAACTCAGCCACAATGACTACATTTAGATTTTATTGGGGGAATACACTACTCACAGGGTGAAAACCCTTCTTGTGGTTCATCAAGCAGAAGCAGTCCTTGAGTTTCCACCAACCTTACGTTCTGATTGAACAATAAATTGTATGGTATTAGTGAAATACACTCATTGTGAATGGACTTGATGTTACCGGGGGACTCATCACCTGAACCCTAGCTGAATCAACTGATAATACACTGCAATATCACGAATGTCGTCCCTACAGAAACATGAAATGGTTTTTGTGCAGCACATTTAGTCAAAGAATCATCATCATTATTGACAGTATAACATGGGCGTTCAACAATGGTGCTTCGCTTCCGAAGATTCAGGTGAGTTCCCCACTAGGACCCACTTAATATGCAAGTGAGTGTATGTCGCCAACCACATCTGGATCGCTTTGCATCTCTGTTTTATGAACGAAAGACCTTCGAACGTCAGAGAAGAACCGGAACATCAACGACCAAAATGATAATTTCATGAGTGTTTCCGATGCGCAACAAGTTAAATGAAACTGGATTGAGTGAACACCTGACAGAATGATAATTGAATCCACTGTTGGAATATCAGAGTGGATAGAAAAAATGAATTCAGCACTGCCAGTCAAAGTCATGTTTAGTCGCTACATCCACCTCAGCGGAACACTTAAAACATGGTACCAAATCCTACCCATTATGCAGTAAACATAGCACGATTCGATATAAGGAGAGGTCCCTATATCGGGCCACTTGGTGTCTCCCCTGCACGTACATCATCTGACAAATGAGCTGTTTTTCCAGCATAAATCAGAAAGGTGAAAAAGACGCTCAGGTGCATATTCTAAAACCAATTTTGCAATTGATAACAAAAAACCTGGATGCCGACAACGTATCCCTGCTTTTAGAGTGGGGTTCGTCCAAACTTCCCTGTTTGACTGCGGACATTGAAAGACATACTTGAGCATACATTTTAACCACGGAAATGGTTTTTGTGTGTCCCTAGATTGTCGGTAAGTACTCGGAAAGGTAGAAACCTCGGGGCTGCACAACGGTAGAGCAGTGGTGGAATATCCAAGGACGAATGTGAAGGCATTTTTTTCAAACTTAAGGTTGTGAAAAGAATATTCAACTATCGCACTCACTACTTCTGACAGACAAGCTGGTGTCCAGTATTGAATTCTCAACTCAGAACACTACGACATCCAACGGAGAGATTGGGAAAACAATTAAATACCACGCTGGACCACCAGAAAAATATTTTCCTGAAAGGGCTCTAAAAAAGTACCTTCATCCGACCGGATCCTAAGGGTCGTTTGGCGAATGAACAGCGCTGATCAGTTGCGGACCGTTCTGAAGGTGGAGCATGGGTAGCCACGTGCGAGGCCGAGGACTGTTTCGAGTAAGCTACAGTCGCCAAGCTTGAATCCACTGGGGCGGAACAAACCTGTACCGGGTAACGGCGAATCGTCTGATCCTCAGACCAAGTAACGAGTTCCGGGGATAAGCCAACTACGTACGGAAAACCAAAAGACAAAGGCTCAAGTTTGCACAATAGTTGGAGCATGGACATTACTTCAGGGTATGTCACAGCGCAAAGAGGGTCCCCTGCTACCATAAAGTCGCATTCCTAGAAAGGTTACAAAAGTGTTTTCCACTGGCCACATTTTATTTGGAATTCTACGAAGAGAGCCATGGAAGGCAACCCCTTTTCTTTATCGTGCTCAATTGGAGAACACCGAATTCATTCGTGTGGTTTCGCCAGGAAGGAGAAGCCTGAGAAGTAAACTGCAAAGCTAGATCCTCCACGCAATGAATATCCAACAGAAAGTTCGGCAGATCGATCAATTACTCGCTGTGTGCAATCCAAATAGACCAATACGTCAAAAGAAGTTTTAGAAAGCCCAAAACCATGTCCCCTGTCAGCTAGGACTGAATATAAGACTAACGGAAAAATCGAAACGGCCACCAACTCGGCAACTTCCTTTAGGAGATGGGTGTAGTCGGACATTTTGGTTCGAAGGAGAGTCTGAAACTAATGAAACGAAAGAGAAACTACATTTGGCCTTGAGGTAAGTCTACAGAGCTACACAATCTCATCTGATTAAGAACACCAAAGAATCGGTTCTCAAACGGCATGAGCACAGTGTCTCCACTTTTTCTGTGACCAATGTAAACCGATAGCTACCTCGTGGTTGCGGAGACACATCGACAACTAAGCCGGCTATCAGAGCGGTTAATTGAACATAGATCACGACACGTCTTTGACCACGAGTTGTCCCCTGAAAACGCGATGCCAGAGGGAACCCAAAGATCAATTTTGTGTTACGTAACCGAAACGTAAAATTGTTCTATAATGGAATGGCCCTGCTCATCAGGGTCCGGTAACAAGCACAGCGTGCATAAAACGTGACGAAGCAATTCAGCTTTCATTATTACGATCACATGTTGATATGCATTAGCTGTATCTGTTGATCCATTTAACCTAGTTCGCAACACAGTCTTACACATAAACTGCACGCTTTACATCACACGCCTGATTAGGAAAAGTCATTTCGTTCGACCACCAATTTTCTGATTCGTGCTACTCCCAGACAAACTCAAACGCACTGCTATACTTGAACGAGATAACCAAATTTAACCTTCCTGACCATTAGCAGAACCGCTGCTGGAACTACTTTCAGTCCAGAAGACTGCGTTAGTTCAGTAAAACACACCACAACGCTGAGGAGACCAAATGGAAATGTTAACATCCAACGGTATGTGTATTGTGTCTGCGCTCATGAAGAGCTAAAAAGCGTCAGTTGTTTTACATACAGTGAGTCAAGTAAATATACCGCGCAGGTAGGCCCACATCAAAGGGCTGGTTACAGACTAAGTACGCCTACTTTGTGCACGAGGATCATGAGAACCATCAAGGTCGTCGCCTCGAAAAAATACATTTTCGTCCTCTTCATCTAACTTGCGAGAGTAAACAGAGTTCAAGCTCGTTGGAATCCTCCAGGTCATGGTTTTCACTGCGGGTTCGGTCTGTAGCGGTCGGAACACTGCCCCTGATAGTGGATCAGCTTTCCAGAGAGGTGGAGCTGGTTGATGTAGATTGTGTGCGTTCCACACATTGAAGCCGACATCCTTCCAGAGCGTTGGCTCGGACAGCGTTAGAATATGGCTGCCAGATGGCTGGGAATGGGATGAGAATGGGTGAAATGAAGCCATCAGATTTCGTGACCCTTGAAAACCGTATGTTAAAGAACAGGTTACTGAGGGCCGTTATAAAAGAGAACACTGTTTTTGACTGCATGTTATGTTGGCACCGAAAGTGTCACCATTTTTTAGTGGAACACCAGGCATCGCAAAGAGATTATTTTGAGAAACGAAAAGAGCGGTCCCATCATGTTAGTAGTAAATTCGACACCCATGTACAAAGTGACCGGATCCTGGTGGTCCTCAAGACTATTAGAAAGTGGACCAAAAGCGTTCAGATGTTGACACCGAATGCAGTAGACCATTGAACTGGTATCAATCTTCAGAAGGCACCTGCTACTTTGGGAAACAACATAATTCCTGACACGAACCACAAACCCCAGAAAGGCTGCAAGGGATGTCCAGAGTGAAGTGGAGACAGAGAGTGGCTTTTGATACTGACGATCAACCTGGCTCAACGAGTACTTTCAACTGACACTGAAAGCCAGACATTACTTTTGTGAGCATTGCTGATAAGCATTGGCTTCCGAACTCTACACTGCTTCTGTTTCAAGTTAAAAGGGTGGAATTATGAGTGCTCACCAGAGAGACTATGATTCCTTGATATTCTTTTCTGATGGTTTCTTATTTTATTTAGGCTTCATTCGATTTTCCCTGGCTGATGTTACTTTTTGCCTCCCTCCAACAAAGGTGAACCCGTACCCAAAATACCTCGAGGGTTCATACGGTGGCAAAACCAAAAACCTTTTGGGAAACGACTGAATACAATAGAAAGTAAACTGAAAATCGAAGTTGTAAATCAAGGACAGTGTTCGCTCGAAATCCACCGGCTGCCGAAGATAATTTATCGCAAAATAGACTAAAATGCAACAGACAAAATGTACTTTTCCTTCACGCCTTGTGCATATATGCATGTTTCCATATATGACTCCTCATCACCATTGTTCCCTTGTTTCCTCTTGTAGGCCTACATCAGTCATAAGCTGAAGCACCCGCTAGAACATGTGTACCAGGTAGCTGAGACCTACAAGCGATACTGATGTCACACAGGGACGAAATACAAACCCGTCGTGACATAACTAGCTACAAGCTAGTGTCAGACGCAGTCCGTTGAGAAAAAAGGGAAGCCAAGTTCAGTTTCGGTGACATTGTTTTGATTTAGCACATTAGCAATAACCACGTAAGCAGAAACGCCCTCACAAAGAATAAGAATTAACACGGACTGAGCACTCAATTACGGTACGGGTGTAACGGTGATACTACTGATGGGGGTGGCACGCGAATAGTATGTCTTCTCATAAACCTGTTTAGCGTCTCTTGAAAAGTGAGATCTGTTACGGAATTTGCGGAGTCGCTCTGTAGCATTTGCTTGGATTTGAGCAACAGTCAACGAATATCCAGAAAAGTTCAGGAAGACGTGTTCAAAGAGAAGATGGATATTCAGTTTTTGTAAACGAGATGCATATGAGAGTTCTGTTTCCCTGTCCAATAGTCTGTAACTGTTCAGTTGGCATTTTGTAATATATGACCCCGCAGCGAAAGCCTTCTTCCTTTCACGGGTAGGTAGCGATAGTATTCCTCTCAACTAGGAGGTTGGTTAAAAATATGTTGTTTGCTAGCCTCACGGCAGAACAAGTGGCTTGAAGACAGCAGGATGAAAATTCGCATGCGTACGGAACTTTATTTCAAAAAAGAGACCTACCGAGTAGTAGACCTTCGTATTGTGCGAATAGACCGATCGGAGCCTGTCTCTTGGACTGTTTGGCTGCCGAATGTCCCACACGCACAGCACGCCACGCTGATTAATTGAACAGAGTTCATGAGCTGATGACGGAGACCAGTTGAAATCAGAGACTGAAGGTGGTAGAGAGCCGCGCCCGTTGGAATCCGCTGTTTGATCTGTTAGATAAGGTTCCGGAATGTTTTTCTATCGGAGGAAGATGATACTATCCTGAGTGAACTATTAGGCGTAGCATTCAGCTATCTAACAACACTGGAGATATGGCGTGAATGACGACAAAATAAGTCACCAATACCAACTAGGAACAGTAGAGTGCTATGTCAATCAAGACGAGAACCGAAATCAGACGAGACTGATAAAATGAAGAAAAGTGGATCAAAACGTCTACCATGAATCGAGTCAATAATTAAAAAGGGCTAAACGATTATATGTACTGCACTACTTCTGCCGCAACTGATATTGTCTAGGCGAGAAACAAAATGGTGGAAAACTCAAGCGATTAAGCGATACATACCCTGAGATCCCAGAGTCGGATGCCCGATCGGTGTAGGGTCGCAAAACAATGGCTTGACAGGCGATTCCATCTGATAATGGTCGGGTCCGCTAGAGGAATGGGTGATAGAGAAGGTTTGTTAAGTACTGCTAACTGAACATGTTCGTTAGAGTATTGCGATCGGTCATTATCGCACCAAATCCAACAGCACGCCTGAGAAACTCAAGAAAAGTAGGTTAGTTAGAATAACTACTCATGGACTGTGTAATAATAGGAACCGATCGGTATGTGAATACGTTTACCGGTGGATAACAAACACTTACAAAGGGATTCAATCGACCTCACAGGTCTGCATAGGTCACGCACATCCCAGATACATATCGCTCGAAATTGGTCGGCTGATGAAGTCGACAATAAGTTCGGATGGATTGGACTCCAGTCAAATGAAGTTATTGGTCGGACGTAACCCCCAAGGAATTGAATGCTACTCAAGCACAAAGATGAATGATCCCAATGGAGGAGCTCACATCGATTGAAACGCTATGAAGAAAGGTTTAAATGGGTTTGTTAGCTAAACGCGATAGAATTCTGTGAATGCAAAGTACAGAGGCAAAATATCAAACTGGGAAACAATTGACAAGACCTTGGAGCTGAAGTCAATCTATGCTGGAAAACTAAGAAACAGTGTACAACTTGGAGTTGAGTCTCTGAAGAGATCCAAATCCGCAACCTACCGGTTGAAGCATTTGGCTACTAGTAGCTGCTCAACACTGTTACCAATTTAAATACATTGCCATCGGTGGGAAGATCTCGGGTCCGTCAGATGACCAATACCGATTATTCCGAATAAGGACGAGAGAGTTTTACGAATCTCAAGTCTACAGCTGTGTGACTTCACTTACAGAGCGGCATCTTGATGAAAAATTCCAAATCTCCTGCCCGTCTACTACCTCCAATGAAAAGTCATAAAAGGGAAGAAAAACGGTTCACGCGTACGACCTCAAACCGGATTAGACAAGTCAGCCATCCCACCTAGGTTAGACTGCCAGGCAATCTGGTATTACGTGACACAAAAGACTTCCTACTGCCGTTATAAAAAACACGGAATCCTTTCACTCACTTGGTCAACATAGAAACAATGCACTTATTGCTCCAACATCATCTACCGCACAAATAAAAGCAGTCCGAGCTGCAGACTGTAACAATAACGAAAGTCGGGGACGAGTTGCAGCGGGAATTTTGGCCAATCGACAAAGGTCAGATATAGTCTGGTGACAGACAGATCACCCGTCTAAGAAACCTCTGCACGTCCGGGTTTGATCAATATTGATTGATTGATTGACTGATAATTATGACTCCAAGTCAGTGAGTTTGAGTACGGGTTGGACGATGATATTCGGTCAACCCGTGACCTAAATGCATTGTGCAATCGATGACGCAGTTTACCTAGGGATCCCCATCGTTCCCTCTTGAGGCTCAACAAGGTATGTGAGAGTGTGATTCACAAAAAATTTTGTGTTCTACTGACGCAGGTGTCACCGCAAATGAGGGCTTCTGTACAACTCATATTAACCAAGCCGGATCCAGTGATTTACAAACTGATTGGATGATTACTCGACAATTCCCCGTGGAATTTCTAGTCGGCCGTGCGTTGAACACCCGTTAGAATTTTGTACAAACGTTGGAACAAACATCTGTGAATTCACAAGCAATTAATTCAATCCGTGAGCCACTAGACCATCCGTGCGATGTTGCTGGTTCTCACAAAATTCCAACATGTATTGCCTGAGAGTATCTCAACTGACCGTTTGTTCTGTGAACCGAAAACGTTTTCTTTAAACGTGAGGGCCCCACTTACACCAAGCTGATGGTGTGACGATAGTGTGAGCATCTGTTGCAATTCAATTTATAATGTGTTGGCTGTATGAAACACGTTATCACATTATCACATCAATGACAATAATGCACATGGTCTTGTAACGCAACCGATATGGGTTTTCGTGGATACATGAATCATTCACCAGTTAGACTTATGCTTCACTGAAGATAAAATTGTAATTCGTCACCCTATCATAATTACTGTGAGCAATGCGTAAGTACCACATACCTGCGGTTAACTGCTACACCTACGGTGAAAAAAACCTCAGGAAAAAGTGGAAAAAGGAGGAAAGGGCGGTGGGGGGGGGGCATAAGTGAAGGAAAGTCCTAAATCCTTAGAGAAAGCGATCGAGAATAATGTACCGCAAGAAATACATTCATTTCCAAATTTATTTGATTTTAACGTGACACTCAACTGAGTTCGACCTGAATCGTTCGTTTATGATATTCAGCTGGGATTAAGTTGGATTTCCCGTTAAAAAAACAAATTAGCTTGAAAATGAGCGTAGTTTCAAAAGCAACATAAGTCTGACAGGAACTCAGCGAGGCTCAAGAACAGTGAGGCTGGTCGTGGGTTGCCGAAGAGTTTCCAGCAACCTTATGAGCAGTGTTCTGACGAGACACATCTGAGCCTCACGTCGGGGTACGGTGCAACCAGAGGGATCGATTTAGCACTCCTTGCAAACTTCACCCAAAATTACGCACAACGCGAGGCCTACTGTGGTTACTCACTCCGGTTGGTATGTGACGCCGTGTGGCTCATCCAAAAGAGGAAGCAATAAGGCAAGACGTTTTCAGCGGTAGACTGAACGGGCAACGACGCAAGAGCATAAACACACGACAGCTGGAGACACTCTTGATCCTTACCAGCTAACGCCTTTTCGATGGGTGATAGCGAAATTTGTGATGATCCTTTAGGGACTGGTTTGAAAACGGTGCTTAACCAACCTCATCTAGTAACCAACCTGAATATGTGCAATATTCCGGATTGATTTCGTTATTGGGAGTGTACAACACACTATAACAATGAATAAATTTAGAAAAGAATAAATAAAGCACCATATCAAGGGCTTATTCGACAATTTGCCAGGGTAGTATCAACATCAAAGTCAACAAGATCACAGCCTACACTGCGGGACTCGTCAGCTGCCCATCACCTGATGGAGAGCAACCATCACATCGATCCAGCGACTGTAGCATATGGCAGAGTTCTGGAATTTACTGAGGCACTGACTACTCAAAAATGGAAGAAGGATCTGTGTGAGTAGAAACGCCGGCAAACTGCGCAACAAGCCTTTTACATGGTAATTTTCCCTTTTTAGATTTAACTATATAACCTGCGGTACACCGAAATAAAATCGGAATATCGTTTAAAAACGGCATGTCAGTGATGGTCTCCACACTTGCGAAGATCCCTTTTTGGGAAGGCGAAACGTGCTCCTTGTCTGGTGCTGGTCGTTCAGGGGGAGAACAAGTTTTCTCACGAACTGAGCATACAGTGACTTTGCTTTACGTTGTAGCTTTGTGTCCATGCTGGTGCGGTTGGTTCGTCTGTCACAATTACATAAACCGCACCAAGCGCGTTGGCTAATTTGTACCTCCCTGCGAGTCACTTTACAAAGCCTCATTTTTCAGAACCATTGCACCGAAACTTGTTAGTTAAGTCCTAAAACCTAATAACCCTGTCAGCGAAGACAATCGGACTCATGCGTTGGGCTCTGATAAGCACCACCATTTTGTGTGTTTACGCCTCGCGTCTCCCGATTACCGACCAAACTGAGATGAACGATTTGTCCTCTTCAGCCGCCACAATGGCCTCAAGTCAGTTTCTCAGCGAAGCAGAGACCTGGCTGTTACGAAGACTTGTCGGGTAGGTGCAAACTCCAATTCCGTAACGGAAAGAACGGAACTTACCACGACGTGACGGCTTGTGTACCACCGTGACCCATCGACCTATACAAGGAAGTGTCTGTGTGACACTCAGAGTCTCTCATACCATGTTGGTCAATGCTTAAAGGTTAGAACACAGTTTCCTGGTTCTCAAGGTTGGGGATTGGAACATCTGTGGCGCATCTGTTCTGCAAAGATTGAAATGCACTCGCATTTCCCGCCAGACACCGCTGTCTTGCGGACGGGCTTTTGAGTTCAAGGCCTTGGTCGAGTAACCCTAATCGTCCACCTGTCCAAGTGTTGGCGCCCTCGCAGTGTCCCAGCCCACGTACAACCATGAATTACACACATACACACACAAAAAAAAAACTCATGCCACATCGGTCACCACGTTGTCCCATTATTCGGGTCGCCTCACTTGCAGGTCGGCTAAGCTGAAACAAGCTACTGCCGATGCCTCCCTTCTTTTACCTTCATATACTTTTTCATCCCCCCTCGCTCCAGCCCATTGCTAACTCTCTCTCTCTCTCTTTGTAGACCCACAAGTTAGGACTGACCGTCTGCCTCGTCCTGCATCGGTTATGGCCGCAACATCTGCTCTTCAGCCAGCTCTGGCAGCCCCAAACATCACGAAATCAACCTTCAAGCATCGACACTCAGTCTATTCGGCTGCCTTAAATGTGCGCACTCTGCAGCAAGCAGGACAACACGTTCCTATTGCTCTCACGCTGGACTCGCTTGCCGTTCATGTGTGTTGCGTATCTGGAACAAGAATTCAAGATGCAAACACAGTGGTTGAGCTAACCGCATTATCACACTCCACTCACTTTCGGTTGCGTACCTCCGGCGAATCAGAAGCTGCTGTGGGAGAATGTGCAGGGTTTGGTATCGTCCGGGTGAAAGGATCCTTGCTTGACTGGATACCTGCTAATACTCGCCTCTCTGCGGTCCGTCCGTGAAGGGAACTCATACGCGGAATGTTGACAGATGTCTGTCAGCCGTGTCTGCTAACGCCCACACAAGCGAGAAGGCTTAGCGCGACTGACACTCAATTACGTGATGGACATGGATTGGAATCGGTACGTACGGGTAATGGTGAACGAAAGCTCCATGCAAGTGCCGACCGTAGACTGTTTTCATGCAGTGCGAGCTTCCGAAATAGCCCAAATCGGTTAGCCAAATGGCGTCCTCCAAAGGAGTGACCGCTACGAACTCAAACTGATCATGTTGCCATCAGTTATTGATGGCGCGGATCAGCAACTGACTGTCGCTCGTTTTTGCACACGTTTATGGTTTTCGACCACGCACTCGTCCGGAATCCCTTCTCCCTTCGTTTTCTAGGGCCGCGTAAGGTGCGAACAAGTCGCTTAGCAACTGAGAGGCTGACAAATCCGGACAAATTTGCCAGAATAGTCTCATCGAGCCTCTTCCATCATCAGATAAGACTGCACATCGGGACGAAATTTCAAACTCTTTGCACAGTGCTGGGAGTTTTACCTGCGCCACGGCGCTACTAGGCCCACTCAGGCATTGGGTATCAGACCGAATGGTGGCACTGCTTAAATCTCGAAGAAATATCTCAACCGGTCCGAACATAACATAGCCTGAGGAATTATCAGATGTCAAGTGAAGGTGAGCATGCGCTACGATCATGAAGTCTGGTGGACTCGGAAAGCTAAGGAAATAGACGGTGAACGTGGAACCCCCTATGTGTGCAGATGTTCTCTCAAGCGCCCCCGAGCATCTGGAAGTTGTATTAGTTCTGACTGTAGTGCCACAGACGAGGTCAATGCACGAATCTGCGAGGCTTGCAGAATGCATGCTTACAAGCTTGCTAACTGATACACATGTGGCGTCAAAGCAGTATATCCCTGAATCCCAGGGGACGTATCAGACTATAGTACCGGTGGTTTTATTGTGTGGCTGCGGGACTTGGCCTGTTCGAGCAGCGGACACTTATCGTCTCAGAACTACAGCTCGTGTGGGTTGGTGTCCGCAAATCCATAACGAGGCAATTAGGAAGAGATTTTTCGGTTGTGCAACAGGGACTCCCGTTGAAGAATGTGTCCAGTACCAGAAACTGCGTTGGTTAGGCCATCTATTACGTACGCCGAAGAGAGTGCTGTTTTCGGTGCCCAATTAAGGGTGGCGGGAACAGATTAGTGGTCAACTCTTGACTTGGCAGAAGGGCATGAAGGAGATTACGAAACGTTTAGGTGTCATTAGTGATACTCGCCTTCCGGGATATGGATCGCGTGATCCTTACTGTGACGGGCTGGGGACACTGCAAGATATGGTTGCTAAGCGAAACCGATGGTGTTGTTGTTGTCAACTTGATTGTCTGGATGTGTAGGCTGATTGGCTGTGCGGCAGCGAAGCATCAGTATTGAGTACTGATTTCATGCTGCTGATGATGATGCAAACTCCAATCATAAGCATCGAAAGCACTGTATAGCGAAGTTATCGCATGCTTCAGCCCTGATAGATGAACATTACACAGCGAGTGGAGGCGTATGTGGAGTCATGCGTTTAGCTTGTTTTTCGTGTTCCAAGCCGTATTTCTTAAAAATACACAACGGGTAGGGTCGATTAGAAACAGTTACGCTCAGCGACAGCTGATCTTTTTTGACAGGTATCAAATGGCAGTAGACGGCAACGATGGCTAATAGCTTTTGAGAATCACTTATGGACAGTCAGGACAGGCCTATAACTTGCATGAACGAATTAATAAGCACACAGAGGAGCTGTCAAGTCGTCAGAATACAACTGCCTCGGTTTCATTAGAAAGTGGTTCTTTACCAAACCGTGTCCCCAATTCCATTTTTGGTTTACCGATGTAAAACTTTCATAAACAGCCGGAATATTTGCGATTCGTCTGCCTGACACATCCGCTATGTTGGACTACCTCATCGATTCCTATCATGCATTACAAAAATCTGTCCAACCAACATCATTCAACACAATTCCATACGGGCGCGACTGAAAAGCTCAAAGTTACAGTACTAACAGTATGAGTGATGACATCGCCCAAAAAAAGAGTTTGGGTGGGTGTGTTGTTAACGAAGGGGGAATATGCGCTGTCTAGCTGTTACAACAGATTCTAACGTCTGAAGAGAGCCCAGAACAAGTTGTCTTTAGATAGAACAATGAACGGCGTACTATGCCAGATAATCGAGTTCATGTGACTGATGTCATAAGCAGATGAAAAATACGATCGAATGAAATACATAGTAAGTCGCAAAAGAAAAATGATTAGTATGCACAGAACCGTTATTCGTCTACTGAACTTTGATTACCACACAATGCTGATGATAAACGGTTCTATTTGGCTAGAAATCATGCACCTACAGCAAGGATGGGTGGTCGCTGTCTGGAACCGTTATTTATAAGGGGTTTCCGCATTGTCAAATGGGACAGTTGGGGGATTGAGGAACGATGGCGTGATTTATGTGACGGATTCACTCTTCCTACACTGAACAGCACACTCTCGAATCTATTTGTAACTTACTGGAGCTTAGAGGACAGACCAACAACCGAACAGCGCACCCGAGCTACCCATATTCAACAACATCGCCAACTTCAAGGAGTCTATCCTATTTGCTCATTTTGATCCCGAAGTAACCTAACGAAACTCTCAAGTAGTACATTACAAAGATCTCAAGTATCCAGTCCACAATTTGTGAGTTTCGCACCAACAGACCGAACAGCCACCCGAGCTACCCATATTCAACAACATCGCCAACTTCAAGGAGTCTATCCTATTTGCTCATTTTGATCCCGAAGTAACCTAACGAAACTCTCAAGTAGTACATTACAAAGATCTCAAGTATCCAGTCCACAATTTGTGAGTTTCGCACCAACAGACCATAAGAATGACGATCGTGATGAATACGTCTCTAGCCAACAGAAAAAGGGGTCCTAAATCCCCACAAGCTTCCCGGACAAAATTAAAATTATTTGTAGAAACATGTATCACACCAGATTTAGCAGAAAAGTTTTCAGTTGACCACAGTTCAAAGGAGATCACAGCTAGGACATCAGTTGGCAGCAGTGATAACCACCTTTGGTCAGCTACTCTCCGAAACAAAAAGAATTGATCCCAGATGCATCACTCACAAAGCAGCCGATGAATTTGTTTCTCATGTTGTTACTTAGTCCTGCTGTTGGGAAAACATCTACATCATCAGATGAAATAAGAGGTTAGGTAAGAGGATCGCTGAACATTTGCAGAACACGGAACGGCCAACCACGAGCACCAGTCAGTAGAGTTGTCGTTCTGGTACGCAACCCGAACTGAAACTTGCTCGCATTCTGTGAGGCCATGTTTATCAATCAATATCGACCGGAGTCGTGCGCACAAAAGCCTCCTAGAGAAGGGGTTTGCTTGGATTGGAGATAATTTGTCCTCGGTGTTCAGGTTGAGCGTAAAATATGTAAAACTACTCACCACGACGATCAGTAGAGATGGTTCAGTCGGATGCCAACTGAGGCCGGTCGGATCGGACTTCAAGTTTAGTGGGTACCTGTGTGCAGTCGACGGCTGATCCAAGCAAAGGACACAAAGCTCCACAGCCCTGGAAAAGGGAAACACCGTAATCAGGAACATAGTTAAACTTGAAACCAGCATGTTGAAATTATGTGAAGAGTTGGCTGTAAAGTTAAGCAAACAGCGTGTCTCATCGAAAACTTTCTACTACGAAACGAACAGCTTCTCCGGTAAAATGAGTAGACAGAATAGGTAATGGTGAGGTGGGGGAATCTATGCTGAAACAAAAGTGGATAGGGGGGCATACGGTGTGATACGGTGTACGATGAATAACAGATTATCTTTAGAGGTGACCATTTCTGGATATTAAAATGCTGGCTGACTTGATTCTGTTGTTCCGAGACTTGAAAATTTGCTTCACTTCCTCCACTACCGATTGTCTCGATAAAGCAGACCTGCCGAGAAAGACCATGCTGTCCGATTATATCTCTAGCGAACTTCTTTCCATCAAAAGATTAACCGGAGCTGTCCATTACGTGTAGTCCGAAACTAGGTAGACGAGACGACTGGGACTTTCCATCATACCCAGTATCCTGCTTTAATTCTATCTTGGAATTTCATTCAGTATACGCACACAAACTGCCAACAACCATCATGTTGTGCGAAATATAAACTTGCCTACACAGCGTGGTCTTCCCAAGCTGCGTGAACTGTGGACCTGAGATGGTCAAGAACCAATTAGGCATATGCATGCATGGGTACAGTTACACCAGAGCTAATCAATAAGACTAATATTCAAACAAACCGAACTCAGGTAGGACAGTACTTCTAGTCCATTGTGGTAAGGGTGTACCAGTGATCTTTAAAAAAAGGGATAAACCTTGGTGTCACCCAATGCAAGTCCACTTCACTGAAAAGAGGTGATCCTGTCGAAAAGGCAGAAAAAACTTGGCACCAAATACGGCACTGCATTGGGTGACTGTTGTCACGACAGAGCATAAAAACCTTACAATTTCACTTCCATTTCATAACCCTAATCAACTCAGGGAGCCATGACCATATGGTGCCAGAATCTCATCCATGTCCAGAGCTGTTTGTCGATCATTCGCCATAATCGACTTCTGAATTACGCCGCAGTCTGGTAATCTAAGTTATGGTAATCCGCTAGCATGATGAGATCTCATAAGACATACATCGAGAGACGCGTTTTAACGGTTTCCACTGCATTTCCGCTAATTTTGTATCCAGCAGCGAGTTCGACTGTCACCATAAGGTAGGATGTGGTCATCGACGAATGGTAGCAGTATCAATAGTAGTTAGTTCCGAAAAGCAATCCATTGAGATACAGCAGGGGAATATGACAGGGTCGGTCGCGTATGCACCGCTTACCGCGGTCATTAACCAATGGTACATGCGACCGATCCTTCTGCATTCATTTAATGAGCTGCTATCAGAAGGAAACGAGTAATTCATTGCTTTTTTAGCTTACAATTGACATTCTCAATTTCGAGTCTCAGGCTTGGTAGCTCTCAGATCCTTCAAATGAGTTCGAAAAGTGGAGGATAGCACCCGATTGCCGTCAAATGGTTAAGTTTCCTCAAAAGCTGCAACAAACGAACTGAAATGAGAGATCAATAGAACGAACTACGTCACGCCCGGATAGACGGTGGACCGTTTACATGCTATAAAACCTTTAAACTCCGGTAGTAGGTAAACCAGTATTACAGACATGTTGTTTTTCTTCGGAAGAACATCCTACAAAACGGAAAATTCGCGTTCCATATTTTAAGAATTGTATATTTTGAGTACATGATAGCCCTTGAACAGTGAGATCCTTGTTTTCAGGCGTATAGATCAACTGGCCAGAAAGAATGCAGCCCTTGTTGTGGAAATCAATCAAGCACAGGGAGACTATTGACATACTACTCAGGATTTCAGTTTAAAGTGGCCACATTCAACTGACCAGCAGTTTTCAAACGCCTTCAAGTTTCACTGATTTCTAGTACGCAGTTTATTGTGCTAACCATCCACACGGGCTGAAAACATGTGGTTCACATGAACGAGGTGAGTGCATGTACAAAGGACGGAGATGAGGAGGGCAGATGAAGAACACACTAACAATCTTCAGAATTAAGAAAGATGTGCCAATCCAGAATACTGCTCAAACAGATTGATACCATGTCAGAAAGTCAAACTACATGAAGTTATTTGGATTGATATGTACAAATATTTCACTGGATGGTCACCAACGAGAACGGTTTTCGATGCTTTGGTGGTTTAAAAGCATACCACTGAAAAACGGTCCATAAAGATGCACTTTCAGGGCATGGAAACCGGCACACATGTGCACCTGCACCTCTTGAAGAATTCAAGCTGTGACTGACCGTCGTCCCATAGTTTATGTACTCGTGTGGTGGCTGTCCGTATCAGTTTACTTGCATAAAACTAGAGAAAGGTGACGGTCGAAAGGGTAAGATGGGTCAAGAAGGATGAGTAGACCTTGTTCGTAAGAAAAGCTAAACATTCTCGACGATGCAGTAATCTTGAACATCGACTCCTTGGACCCATTACAAAGACAGAAATAGTTGGCCGTAGGAGTGTTCGGGATCGGTAAACTGAAATGTCTCTCACAAGTCAACGGTGTTAAATAAGTAGTTAGCTATTCCAAACAGGTTATTAGAGCTCAACAAATACACTCGTTTGCATATCAAATCGGTTTTGACGGGAGGCTCAACTGGAACCCAATTGAATCTCCCTTTGAGAATGTTTTAAGCAACTGAATGTGATGCATTAGGCCACTTGATGTTTCAGTCGGTACGACATTCGAGATATACAAGTATAGACGTGATGCGCTACTCATGGGGTTGATGTCAGTCTCCCGCAACCTTATGAGTAGTGTACATTAGAGCTCAAGTTGCAGATCACACAGCAGCTATGACGAACGACTCGAGGGTTACATATTGACACGTCCATGCTCTAACGGAAGTCTAGATCTTTGGTGCGTCAGTATTTTGCACACGGGTTGTCTGGTTCAACATCTACTCGCTTCCAACCAGAATAAACGAGGTCGCCCACAAACAAGTACGACTTAGTAGATATGTAGCGGAATGAGAATTATACACAATGCTCAACTACGGAAACAGGTCAAGGATCGGCCTAGTTCAGCGATGTTCTGAAGGAGATACCCATCGCAGGCTTCATGAGGTATCGGTACTCCTCGGTTTTACCTTGTACATGGTGCAATGTACATTCCACTCGTAACCTAACTGACATGCATCAGCAGCTACTGTGAAAAGGACATACGCTCGAGGAAGATATTGATGAGGGAAATATGAATTATTTAACTTCCGCATTGGTACCGACTACGAATAGGAGTTCAGGGCGTGTACGGACAAATCAAGTCCCGTTCGCTGCGATCGAATTCAAACCTACGAGACGTGTACATGTGTATTGTGGTTTGCATTACCGGTGCGATTGAATTGCGATATCGAATGGAGGAAGAACGTAAGCGAAAAGAAAAAAGTTGGGATGCTGTTCAGTGGTGATTGAATAGATACCACAGTTTTATAGGCTGCGTCAGGCTGTCCACCATATCTTCCGCACCGGAGTCCACTGAATGCCGTAAAATCCGATGTATATGATCTCTGACAAAGTGGACCTTGTGTGTAAACTTACTTCAGCAAATGATAGAAACGAGACATGGCCAAGAGAAGGACAAACGGCCACTGGACCGAGTTTCGTGACTTACACAGAATAACTACGTCAAAGTAAACTGTCAAGTTTCATTATCAATTTGACGATCTACCGAACCAGGCAACTGAGGCGGCCGCTGCCAAGGTACGCGAACAAATTAATCGTCAAGAACACTAACTGAGATAGGAATCTTCCCTTGTATATTGAAGGATAGATTTTTGTGCCAGCCAACTCAATCAGAATAGCAACTGAGAAGGAAGGGTTTATTACGAAGATGTGGTCTAAAATAACTATGATAGAAATTATCACACTGGTGAGTTGCAGATCGTTTCTGAATGCTAATTCTCAACAAGTTACCTGCGATTCTTTTGTGCCATAGGGTGTTCCGATAAATGGTGCCGCGCGCGCATTTTCAGCTTAATTAATGACTAGGTTAAGCCCAGTCAATAAGAGCTAGTGGATGTGAGCGAGTGCATCCGGAATACCTGCAATATCAACTTTTTAGCGTGGTGAAGAAACGGTGGATGTGTGTAAAAAGTATACGTGGTTTGGTATGCAGATTTTGAGAAATACATCAATCTACTGCAAACCAGAAAACGTTAACTTTTTTAACTCAGAATATTCGCCTCATCGAGAGGAATCGCAAGGGGACGAATTTCGCGCAACAGAAGTTGCTCCCTTGAGGGAGGAAAGGATCAGTTGGAGCCACGAGTAGAAGAACTCGAACATTCACCACGTGTAGATCCTCTCACATAGAGAATTCTACTCTTGTCGATGAATTGTAAGGTCGAGGAAACCAATACAGATGCAATTTGAGTGGTTCCCAGCTACTAAACGAAGTCAGGTTCCGGTATTATGTGGGCGAACTGACAAAGATGGAAGTCAGCAACTTCGAGGAACATCCGTTGTATTGAAGTGGATCCAATGAAGGTCGTTGGTCAGGTAGTTGTTTATCTATTAACCGAGCTTGGTAACTAGCTCGCACGTATTTCACCACAACTCGTAGAGACTATCAATTGGCGCACTGACGACAATGAACTCACCCAAACTAGCAATAAATGACGGGAAGTTCACCAACACAACTCATTCAGTGAACTGTCTGCCTGGCTAGTGAAGTAAAATTTAGGTAGATGCTTTGTTACTCTAACCAGCCTCTGAATACCAAGCGAAGCAGAGTACAAAAACTTCAAACATACCCTGAAAGAGCGGCATATTGTCCGGACGCATCCACAGCAATCCGGGAGGCCTGTTGGATAGAAGTATAAAAAATGTGCATAAACACAAACTGTGATGTGGTCACCAACATCGGAAATCAACGAACACTAGGCCCGTTTATATCGATTTCAAGCAATCCTCCGATAGAGAAGAGAGCACTCATGATGGAAAGACCAAGACTTCCAGTTATAATCTGATTAATATAGACTGGAAGATTATCTAAATGTACAGAAATTTCGACGGAATCGTGGTAGTGAGCAGATCCCTGTTTGTGGATCTGCTAGTTCCACCAAACTTTGCCGATAAGCTCCTACACAAAATCCATACTACCAAATTATGTTACGTTAAGCCGCATATCCACCGAGCCGAATACCTTCTTCCCAGAGTGGAAGCAAAGGAATAAGAACAGGGAATGAGTAGCAAGATAGCTTTAAGACCATGATGTTGTAAAACTCGTGGCCCGTAGTTGTCAAACCAAACGGGACAACTAAACAGTTGAAACCCTTGTGTATGTGAAGGGCGACATATCACTCTACAGAGTTAGTCGATACACTCTTTGGTTTCTACAGTAGCGGCTACAGAAAGTCTTGAACCGTTGTTGTCTTAACACTTCGCACTGTCCAGAGTGTTAAAGTAGGTTATTGTGTCAGCATCTATCCGGATAAAATAGTATGCTTAACCACCCCACCAGCGCACATGTTAGGACGGTCGTCAGCGTTTGATCAGGGCACAGGACCATTTACAACCGGGTTACTGATGCAGAATAGATCACAAATTACAATCTGTGCCATTAATTGGTTTACCTTGT